GTTTGTGCTGCCTAGTATGCAGCTGTCGCTGTGTGAGCGGCGCGGGCTTAGAAGGATGAAGCTTGTGCTAGGCTCTATGGGCTTCTGCCGGCGGTACGAAATCCAAGTGGCTCAGACCGTACGTCCTGGGAGTCGGAGCACTAGCGCTCAGCTATACCTTTTCAGCTGCCTTGCGAGCTATATTTCTGCTGCGATCATGTTGAAGAATTAAAGTAGTATGTTTTTAATTTATGTTTTCATTTTAAGTGGGAAAACTATACGCACCTGACAAGACTTAATTGCAGTGCAGTCAGTTCATCCCTGCCTTCCAAATGCTTTCTGGTTCAATGGCCGCGTCATAGCACCCGCCCCATGTAGCCAGCTATTGCGCGCGTGTCAGTAGGATTGCCCATTCAACGTCATGTTTGATGCAGACATGTCGGTCATTGATTTATAAAGTGAACGACCATTGGCCAAAATGCGTAAGCATGAGTAGATCATTTTTGCAATGTCGGTGTGGATGAATTTGTTGTGTCTGTATCACTTCGTCGATTTGAGCGATGTGTGCAGTGGGATTTGAAAAGTGTAAATAAATCTGTAAATGTGTGAGAGATTTTGTGTGTCTGTACAACAATCTGCAATGTGTCAAACTACTTGTGTTGTAATCCGTTTTGCAAGGATGTGTAAAAATCCACAAATCTGTATTCAGATCTGCAAATGTTGTACTGAGAGAAATGCCAAAATCACGAGTGAAAAGAGAGCCAACTGAAAAACCGCTTGACATGTAACCAATGATTTGTCTGTATTTCTGGGTCTTAGAAGCGAAATACTTTCAGACACAAGTGTCTCTGTGTGTGCTTACAGATTGATCTACACATTTGCAAGTCTCAGTACCACATTTGCAGATCTGTGAATACAGATTTGTCGGGGTGGGGGGGGGTAGGTGGGTGTGGTGGTTGTGAGGTGGGGGGGGGGGGGGTTGTGTGGTGGGGGGTGGGGGATGTGCTGCGGAGGGTGGCGAGGGAATTCGTTGTGTGGGGGTGTTTTTTGTGGGAGGTGTGGGTCGGGAGGGGGGGTGCGTGGTGGAGGGGATGGCGGCAATGGGATGGAAGGGGGGGTACGGAATAGGGCGCGTGTTAGCGGTGGTGGTCCGGTTGTGGGTGATCGGGGGGGTCGCTGGGAAGGGCGGGAGATGGTGTGGGGGGGTGGGGTGAGATGGCGAACCGGGGAGGCTGGGCGGAAAGGGGGGCGGACGGGGCGGGGAAGGAGGGGTGAGGGTGGCTTGGAGAGGGGCCTGGGCGGGGGGTGGGGCGGGGTGCTAGGGGGCAGGTTGGCGCTAGGTCCTGTTTTGCTGTAGTGAGGGTTTGTGCTTCCGTGTGTTTCAGGGTCTGTGGGCGTTGTATCGCTTGGGGTGGTGTGTGGGTGGGAGTGTGGTCGTTGGATGGAGGGTTAGGGGGCTGTGGCAAAGATCTTATTCATACAAATGTCGTGTCTTTGGTTTTATGGATCCTTTAATTATTATCTTCAAAATTTTCATCTTTCATAGTCAAGTGTAAGGCTTCACAAACTTATAGACATGCACAGTCTTCGATCTCGCTACAATCTGGTAAACCTTTCAATACATGTCTATATTAGATTTTAATTATCCCTTGGGATTAAGCGTATTATATCTCACATATTATATATATCTTCATACTATCTTCTATTTTTTAACATATCTAATATAATGTTCTTTTTACTTTCACAGATATACTTTACATTCCCTCACTCGATATCTATTTTTTATTCAAACATTATAGATTAGTTTTAGTACGTTGTCTTTCTTCTGGTTATTTTGTCTATTCATGTGTTCTTTTGTATTTATGTCTTTCTTTTCTATTTGATCTGTCTGGTTTGTAGTCTTAAGTTATTTTTTTCTTGGTATGTTCCTTTTTTTCGGATCTTTTCTTTTTCGGTGGCCATTAATGGATGGATTGGGGTTTGAGGTTTATATTTGTGTGGGTGCGGGGTGTTATCCTGAGTGCTCGGGGGGTGGTATCTGGCGATGAGTGTAGCTGTGATGTCAGATGGGTGTAATGTGATTTGGTGTGTTTATCCGCGCTCTGTGTGTGGTCTCATTTTTTTAGCTCCGGTGTTGGCCTGTATTCTTGGTTGCGTTTGTTGTTGATTTTTCTGGTCCTGTGATTTCGTGAGTGCTGGTTTGTCGCCTTGTTTGGGTTGGATAGCGCGTTTGTGCATGTCCTGTTGTTCTTCTTTATAGTTCGTTCGCGTGCGTCGCGCGTTCGTGGTTGGGCGGGATAGTGAATTGTTGGGGTGTGTGGAGTAGGTGACGTTTAGTAGAGGGAGGGGGAGGAAGTGGGTTCTTTCCGTGCTGTTTGTATGAAATGTGAAGGGATTTGTGTGGGTTTGACCAGGGTGCCGGCGGGGGATCCGGGGGGAGGGGGGTAGTGAGATCGGATTTGTGGTGAGAGGAGGTGTGACGTGAAGGGGTGGGCGAGTGGAGATTGTGGGGGGGCTTTCGGGTGGGGGTTGTGGGTGGAGGAGGCTGGGTGGGTTAGCGGTTAGGCCGTATTGGCTTGCGGGCGGGTAAGTGGGGTTGACGGTGGGAGTGATGGGATTGGGAGAGGGGGAGGGGGGGGGGAACTGAGGAGGGAGAGGTGGGTGGGAGGTAGGGGAGAGATTGGGGGGGGGAGTGGTGTGAGACTTCGAGGATATTGGTTGGGGTGCGATGGGGGAGGCAGGAGGGGGGGTGGATGTGGGCGGGCGGGGGTGGGGTGGCGGGGTTGGTGGGAGGGTGGTGCGGCGGCGGTGGGAGGGGATGGTGAGCGGAGGGCCGTGGGTCGGGGGGGGGGGGGGGAGTGCGGGAGGGGGTGCGGGTGAGGTGCGGGCGGCTGCCGTAGGAGTGGGGGTGTGGCGGGGTGAGGGTTGTGGGGCGGGGAGGTTGGGGGGGGCGGGGGAGCGGCTGGAGAAGGTTCGAAGTGGGGGGGTAGTGAGCGGGACACGGAAGTGGGTGGTGCCGAGGGGTGCGGGGGGGGGAGCGGTAGGGCCGGCGGGCGATTTCGGGGGCGCTGGAGAGTTGTGTGGGGATGGGGGGGGGTGGGGGGCGGCCGACGGGGGTAGGAGTGGGCTAGGTGGTGGTGGATGGAGAAGTGAAATTACTAGTATGGTAGAGCGCGCTATGGGCCGTCGGGGTGGACTGGGGCGGGGGTGATCGGAGGGAGTCTGCCGAGACGGAGTTGCGGGGAGAGGGGGTGTGGGGGCGGGTGCTGGGGGTGGAGGGTGGTCCGAAGGAGGGTGTGTGTGGGTCGCGTGGGGGAGCGGTGAGGTGGTTAGGGGTTGTGGGTGTCTGGGGGGTATTGGTGAGGGTGAGTAAGCGGTGGGGGGGGGGGTAGGAGGAGGATGGGGATAGGGGAGGTTGGGTTTGTGGGTGGAGAGAGGTGGGAGGGTGGGTTGCGTGGTTATGATAGGTCGCGCTTGGAGTGGCAGGGTCCGCAGGGGGGGAGGGGGGGTGAGGGTGCGGTGTGGGCAATGGTCGTAGTATCGTCTGGAGTGGAGGGTGAGATGTGATGATTTTTAATATCATTAGGGCAAATCTCTGCAGTACATATTTGCAGATCAGAAAACAGATTGTGGATTTTGTATAAGTGCACTACATTTGGCAAATCTCAAGTACACATTTGCCAGATCTGAATACATGATTAGTGGATTTTTGTTTAGGCACATGGTACAAAGTCCTCAGTACACCACATTTTGCGCAGATCTGAATAACAGATTTGTGGATTTATTTACAACGAATTGCAGACACACGGGATTAGACACACAATTGGAGTGAGTGTTTCACAACATTTTCAGATTGCTTGTAGGAAAAGGTAAGGTGCGGAGAATGGGGGGGGGTGGGGGGGGGGGGGGGGGGGGGGGGGGGGGGGGGGCAGACACACAATCTCCCTCAACACATTTACAGATTTAGGAATTATTCGACATAAATATTTCAAATCCCACTGCCACACACCCGACCAACGTCTGTGCCGACAACACATTTCGCAAAGTATTAAAGCTCGCGATTTTGGCCCCATAGAAAAACTGCCTACAAGTAAAAAGGTGCCTGCACAATGTATGCAGTGGAATATTAACATTGGATTTTATTGATATACATCTGCAAGAGGAATAACATTAGAATGGAAAAATCAGCGGAGCGTTAGAAAATAAAACTCAAGAACATACTAATGTGAGAGCTTTTTCAACATGTGATGTGTCCATTTCTTTTCCTGTCGAATTGATATTATAAGGACAGGTATCGAAAAAGTAACGGCTTCAGGGAAGCCATTATCGAAGTGAAGGTTATCGTTATTTGGTTACCCTGTGGAACCGGAAAAATTAGAGAACAATACCCCCAGCCCGGTACAGCGATATGTCGTGAGTCGTATATATATATTTAGTATTTATTCTGATAGTGTACAGGATTTTTTCTTTTTGTCTAGTGCGTCTCGCATGACAGTTTCCTGAACTAATCAAGAAACGAACATTCCAGAAACATTATCTGAAATGCTCTAAAAGGGACAACTTGAAGTATTCACAGTTTGACTATTCACTGATACTTTCTAGTTTTCTTATTCAGATGATGGCTTTTTATATTCCCCTCCTCGCCTTTAAATTGTTTGTAACACCTTGTTTAACATTTTTGGGACACCAACACCTCTTTGCAAAAGTGCTGGTCAGCACCAGTATAAGGGCAGGACCGATCCGTAACATATGCACAAGTCCTATTGAATTTCCAGTTAGAGACTTGGGAATATAAAAACAACCAAATACTACTTCACAAAGCATTCTATGCAATAACATGGCTCACACTAATGATTTATTTCCAAATATTCCATGTGCTTACAAGCACTCAATTAACAATTAACTTATGAATGAAAGGAGAAGCTTTTCTGTTTCTATATTATCTATTGATTAAACTGGAGAGAATTTATGTCTTCACACACCCTTGCAAACACCAACCAACAATCTTTTTAATGACCCCTTTTTCTTTCAATGTCTTCAAAAGGAATATATTCCAAATTGGGATTGTGAGTGTCCCTCTCTTCTGGTGATGAAGCATGAAAATCCTCCATCACTTTATCCAACTTAAACAAAAAGTATGTTTTGAACTGTGACCATGGAATCCTAAAAAGGTACAAGCAATCTTAGAAAGGGTAAAGAAAGTAAGCAGACATTAAAAACATAAATAGCAGTTTGGATCTACCGGTAATCATTTCTACTCACATTGGTTGTCCAGTTTTGGCGACATGCCACAGGAACTGATCTAATGTGGGACAGATCTCTTTCTTCCCTTTCTTTTCAAAATCTGTCAACAGTCACAAGGAGCAAACCGTGTATAAACATTAGTGTTATTACATTTAAATAAAGCTGCGCTGAATTAGAAATCAATCTGAAATTAACTCAGGTTTCTTCAAAAGTGCATCTCAGTAAATACAAATCAAAAAGGGAATTTATTACAGACAGAGTGATACATTTTAAGTATTTCTTTTGATGATAATGAGAAATCCTTAGGTCAGTTTCTCAGAAAATTATATTAAATAAGGTGACCCATGTAAAATAAAAAAATAAATAAAAAAACATCTGAAATACTGACCTAAAGAAAAGTATGCTCCAGTAGAATACAACATACAGACTCCATATTAGGTTCTGCATGAATTACTGCGCCAATGTGCCCCAATTTAAGCTAAATATAGTGTAGTTAAAGCTTATATCTTTTGAATCCCTCAGTCTTACATTGGTTTGGTTTCACAATCCTTTCAAGGCTGATTATGCACCTGCCAGACTTTTTCCTTTCACTAAACTTTCCTTCATGGGGGATCAATAACAGTGTTGCAATAAAAATATGTTTAATTACAATAAATATATATTTTTTAATAGAAATAAAAAAAAATTGTAGATTTTATTTGGCTATTTGAACCAATCTTCAAAAATACCAAGCATATTTTGCCAATATATCTATAGTTTTTAGAGTTTTCCTTTATTAAATACATTTAATTTAAGACGATGTTCTTATTGCTAAGATGCCCGTCTTTGCTTAAGAACACTGGAAAAAATGTATGCAACCGCTTAAGGCATTTACTTAATCATATTTAGGTACTTTAACACAATTGTTTTATGTCCTACCCTGCTAACATGAAACTATTGTGTTAAAGTAACTAAATGCGATTAAATAAATGCCAAAAAAGGTTGCATAATTTTCAGTGAATGTCCTAAGAAACCGATTCAGGTTCATTTTAAGATAAAAGTGACACAAAACGCAAACTGACATCAAGTTCATAATTTCTCCCTAAAATGATTAACTTGTCAACAACAGAAACGAGTGAGAAGTTAAAACAGACTACTTTCAAATCAAAGTTAGCAGGATGTTGCTAGTATTGCTCCTCAGCTAGATGTTTATATAACCGTGTCAACATGTACATAAACAGGTTAAAAGTGTGCAATGTGACGGACTTGTTTCTACCACTTAGAGCAGTCAAACCAAACAGGTTAACATCTTGTTACTTAAGAATATTTTAAAATATCAGTTAAATAGGCTGCATTTCCTAGAGAAACGTGCGTTACGTAGTTAGCAAATTAATAGCGGTGTATCATGAGGAAATACACTTAATTTAAACATAAAAAAGCATAAACATTTGCATAATTGTAAACATTGCCTTGGAACCCTTCCGATAATGCGTCGGTATCCATAACTGTGTCCAGTTCACAGGCAGGGAACGCTTATTGGGGTGCAGAACAACTAGCAGGTAGCAATCCAAAAAAGCTGCTGGCATGGCAGAACTGCGCATGTCTGAAATTACGTAGGTGCTTCTTCTTCTTGTCTTGTCTTGTTGCTTTTAATGGCGGTTGGCATACAACTTTTCGGTCTGCATTACCGCCACCAACTGGTGAGGAGTGTGGATCAGAAGGCATATTCATAAAGATACTTAGAATTATTTATCTATATATCTATATCTATAATATTACTTTACAAATACTGCATCCTCATAATTATTGCTGTTATTATTAAATATTAAATAAATGTTGATAACATTTTTTTTTTCCTTTTCTGCAGAATATCTATCAAATCAAATTTAACTTTCTCCTTATTTAGGTCTCTAACCAAATTCTTTCTTTCTTCTTCATACTTCTTACAATATATCACTACATGTTCTACTGTTTTTTTCTTGTCCGCAATATTCACATTTGCCTGACATATGTTTCTATTTTGAATAGTGTATTATTTAATCCTGTATGTCCAAATCTAAGACTTGAAGTAACTGTTTCCTCTCTTCTGCTTCCTTCTCCTATCTTTATTTCTCCTACTTTCCGTTGAATCCTATAAGACCATCTTCCTCTTCTTTCTTCTTCCCATTGTTTTTGCCACCTTTCCTTCATCCTTTGTTGAATGATACTTCAAATTTCTGTCTTACTTAAGTTAATTATCATATTAATGGTTTTATTTTGTGATGCTTCCTTAGCAATCTTTTCTGCAGTTTCATTTCCTTTAATCCCTATATGTGCTGGAACCCAAATAAATATAACACTAATACCCATCATTTGATCTTGATATAAAACTTGCTGTATTTCAATTAAAATGTCTGATCTACTTTCATAATTATGATTTTGTATACTGATTAAAGCTGAGCTCCAATCTGAACATATAATTGATTTTAATAGTCTCACTTTCTCTATCCATTGTAATGCTAATAATATTTTTCTAATAATTCTCCTGTATGATAATTCAATATTTATTCTCCTATTTACTTTGATACTGAAATGTGAAACATAAATTGCAATACCTAGCCTATTACTCGCACTTTTAGATGCATCTGTATATATTTGAATATAACCATAATAACTATTAGCATATTCCTGTATCAGTTTATGATAAATATTGACTTCCTTTTTGTTTTCTAACCATGTCAAATCCAATGTAGTATCAGGTATGATCCAGGGAGGGATTTCTTCTTCGTCTTCTTCTTCTTTTTCTTCTTCTTCTAGAATTTATTGGCGGTTGGCAAACAACATATGGTGCATTGAATGTAAAGAAGTAAGAAACCTATGGGATCAACTTCCGATCTTTCTATCTTCTAGATCTATAAATGTGGACTTCCTTACAAATAATTCAGTTTGGTTTATATATTAATGAAAAAAGTTGGAATTTTTAGTTAATAGTTTGATGATTATAACCAAATATTTTATCCATAATGAAACATAACGAACTTTCCTCCTTTAACCGACGTCTGAAAAAGATGCAGAACCTTAAAGTAAATAAATTGTCTGATTTATTGGAAGAATTTCAGTTAGTCCCCTCTTCTTAATATTTTTTTTTTCTCTTCCTTATTCTAGCCTCTAATTTTTATTGGAGTTAATAGGAGTTGTGATCTTCTTTGTTTCTTGCAATGTTCATTGGCGTATTGTTGAGTTTGTCTTTGATGTTCTCTATTTTTCAATAAAATAAATAAATAAATAAAAATACACTACCGCCACCAACCAGTAGGGGGTGTGGATCTGGACAATGCACTTCTGAGGAAGAGATGTTAGATCAACAAGAGTCCTTATGCAACTTTGGGTTAAAAATAAATAACTACAATTCAAGAACCGTTTGATTCCATCACGCAAATAACTATATTTACTCCCTCATGCATGTGACGGCTTAGGCAATAGAAAGGTCGAGATCGCTCTGGTTTACTGAGGGCGAGCGTCTGTTTTTCCTGCTATCTGGGGATTCGACCAATGACTCATCAGCTGGTCTGAGATAAATATACCCAGGGAATCTATATATACAAGCAACCATGAGACCGAAGAACAGTTTGCGTAGGAATATTGCTCTGTGATCGTTCTCTACAATAAAGTGAATTTGTTTTCATAATTAGTCATAATGGCAGCGCCATTGGCTGCATTGCAACTGAGCTCACCACCTAGTCTGGAGAAAAACATTCATATCAAGGAGAAAAATTTAGGAAGGATTCCACATAACCGGGAAAATGATATACTTCCTTTACATTCACCCTGGACTTTTTGGCTCGATAGGTAAGAAAGCGGGTTTCTGCTGTTTGTTTGTTTGTTTTTGGGGGGTTTTCTGTTTTGTTTTTCCACTTTAATGAAAGTTATCTGTTGCAAGTGAGGAAACCCTGGAGTTGATGGACCCTGCAAAGGAAAAAGAGGATAAACTTTTGTTTTCAACTTATTATAGGGTTTCAAAAAAAAAGAAAAAGAAAGTTATTGATTTTAGTTGTTTTAATGAACAAACAAAAAAATATATGTCAAACAAAATAATATCAGAACCAAAGAGTAATATTTGAGTTTTATTTATGTACTGTGTTTTTCTGGTTTGCACAATGGTCCTGATTATGACATGACTTATGGGAGACCAAAGTATTAAATAGGCTGGTGTGTGCTTTCATAAGAACTATATTAGGCGCAGCCTGCTGAGTCACTGTTGGTTTCTATGTTCTGTAAATGTTTGCACAAATCAGGCTTTGTGGGTCACATTTTTATTGTCCAATAACAAAAATATCAAATTCATATCCCTGTTTTTATAATGTTATGTAATCATAACAATGACATTAATTATGTAATATAACATTATAATTTGCATAACTGTAAAAAGGAGGGAGGGGGGGCTTTTCTCAAATTGGGTCAGTCTTGTTTACTGTTTACTGGCTTGTTTTGTCATCTGATTCCGTCCCAGCCAACTGCTGCTCCAATTTGTCAGCACAGAGGGCAGCAATGGCACAACTGATTAATGGAGCAGGCAAAAAAGTCAGTTAAAATGAATTATACTTATAGGCCTTTCATTTGTTTTTCTTGGGAAGATCTCTGCCAGGAACAACAGCAGCTGAGTGTGAGTCGAACTTGAAGAAAATCTACACAGTGGAGACAGTACAGGTAAGATAGATGCCTGGCTTTTATATTCCGTAGACCAAATGTCTCTTCTCTGTGCTAGCAAAATAAAAAAATAAATAAATAACCTGCCTTTCTTTGCTCCTATTTAATATAGAACTTTTGGCGGGTTTACAACAACATACCAAGTGTCTCTAGCTTGCCATTGAGATGTAGCTACCATCTGATGAGGGGGGAGAGGAAGCCTCTCTGGTGAGTTTGAATGGGTCAGATATGATATGTTGTAATTAGAGATGCCCAACAAAAACACCAGGGGACCGGACTTGGATACCTTGCATATACAATGTTGAGTTAGGATTAAATAAGGTTGAAAGTTTGCCATTTTTGGTTTCAGTGACAAGTTAAGAAATAAAGTCAAGAAGTAGAAATTTGATGTCAGCAACTGTTCTTAATGAGCAATAGTTTTTTTGTTTTTGTTTTGTTTGTTTTTCTTTGTGGTTTGTTCAAGCGAAAAAAAAAATACCTGATCAGATAACTGGAAACCTGAACAAAGACAACTTCTTGTTTTATCCTTTGTATATTTTAGCCTCAGATCAGGATCTATATTACCAAGTTAAGCCCCAAATTATTCATAGTCCTTGCAGATTTTTCAGACAGGAAGTTCTAACAGAAAATGAGACATGCATCTCTGTAAAGCTGATATGTCAAAAAAAAAACAAAAAAAAAAAACAAGCTAAAAATGAAAAAGGAGAGTGGAGGTTATAATCAAACTGTTATCAGGGCTTCTTCCTGCCTGTGTTTGTCACTATGAATATTTGGTAATATTTCTGGTTTGCTCACAGGGAAGAAGAAAGCAATGCTAAAGGTGGTGTTTGGAAAATGAAAGTACCAAAAGAATGTACTGTAAGTTAAGTAAAACTATTTTGCAATCAACATGCAAATTGATTTCTCTGTTTAACAAATCTGTCTTCATATTTACAGTCTGTGGTGTGGAAGGAGCTGCTATTGGCCACTATTGGAGAACAGTTCAGTGATTATTGTGCCTCAGGTAAATCTCTTGCACATCTTAAAACACATGCAAACTCCTTTCATGAAAACATGTAGATCTTCAAAGAAGGCACCAACAACGATGAGTTACTTCAACATTTAATTTCCTTTTGGGGTAAATAAACTATTTCTGAATTGAATTAAATCATTATGGGCTTTGAAGATCAAGCTGCTGTTGAGAAGAGCTGGTAGAAGTACCGTAAATCCAACTGTTTAGAGTGTAATCAGCCGTGAATCAAAGAAGAGAAGTCTTGGTCATTGTTTCTCAAGGGTACAAGGACATTTTTAGCAGCTCAAAAAAAAATAAAACTATATAAATCAAAACTCTGCAGGCAGATAGTGCAATAAAAAAATATTATAAATTGAATAAAAAAGGACTGTGCAGTTATAGAAGAAAAAAATATATACGCAAGAATATTTACACAGAGATTGCGGTGGACATCACTTTCTCATAATTTATGATATTTAATTTTTCTATATTTAACCTTAATTTTAGTTGCCATAATTTTTTTAGAACTTTATTCATAGCATTTTGAGACAGGCTGCCCGAAATGTGAAGTGCACTATAAGTAATGTTTAATCCTCAAACCTCCAACTATAGGGCTCAGAACCTCGTCTTTCTTTTACAGCAACTCTCAAACTGCAGTTAGCACATGCAAAAAACACACAATAAAATCTTATTTGGAATCTTTGTAAATCAGGCCCTCAGAGTATAAACAGAATTTTTCTAAATATGCCAACCTGTGGGACTTGATGTGTGGTGGGTGGAAAAATATTTATTTACAGGGAGAAATTTATCTTTTGCATACAAAACATCAAACCTTCTGGCAGTATCATTTTCAACTTGACCAGCCTTTCTCATTGTGTGGTTCTCTGTATACAGAGGATGAAGTAGTTGGGGTCAGCATCAGTGTAAGGGACAGAGAAGACGTAGTTCAGGTCTGGAATGGGAATGCTTCCTGCGCCGATGAGTCAAAGGTCTTGGAAAAGATCTACGAGCTCCTCCCTGAGACACCTTTTAAAGCTGTATTTTATAAACGTAAGTATCCTCTTTGTCTTAAGCATTAAAATCTTTTTGTCAAGCATTTAATAAAAACATTTGGAGCACTTTGCTTACTTTCTCTTAAATTTGTTTTAATCTTTTTAGCACATGAGGAGCACCACGCTTTTGAAGGAGGTCGAACAAGACACTAAATGTTTTTGCACATTATAGGTTTTAGGTTGTACAACAATCTTTTCAATTGGTAAAGTTATCACAGATCACTCAGGAAGATTACAAATCACCTTAGATCTTATGTATTACCTCAGCCTAGCTAAAGTATTTTCAATCAATATAATTTTAGTTAATCCAAGCACCACTTGCATTACAATGTCCTGCTAATATAGTTTGATACACCATAGTGTATGATTGTTTTATTATCTTTGAATGTATTTCTGTTGTTTTTTCTTTTTGTTTTACCTCGACCTTTTACAAATGCAAAACCGAGTAATGATTTTCAGAGGCTTTCTAATGAAATGTGCCGTTTAGATCTTTTAAACTGTTTTACTTATTCACTAGAAGTGAATAAGCAAAAAAATCACAATCTACAGTGTTGTATCCATATAAGAATTATTTTATATTTTTTGTCTTTAAAGGTATAGTGGAAGATTTTCATGAATTTTTGAAAAGAACCACCCTCTCCACTTTAAACAAAAAAGCAAATGCACAAACCTGTACCGGCTCACGAGATGGAACGCCTATCAAACTCGTGCGAGAGCATGCACGAGCACGTCTCCTCATGCACACCCTGTAAAAGTTGCTGTTTGCATCGCTCATAAAAGTTTACTTCACAAAAGAAGATTTGCTATTTTGCACTGTCAGACCGACCCCCGGTAAGTGAAAATGGGGACGAACACAAAGACATACATAAACATATCACCAAAATGATTGATGTTTAGGAGGACCACTTATTTTGATGATCCACCCGGAAATAGAACATTCTCCACTATACCTTTAAATGTTATATTTTTGGTTACAGATAAAGTAAACATTTACATGCAATGAAGGAAGTCTTTTGTGTACCAATAGGCATTTTATAGTGTCTAACTCTGCACATTATATTTTATCTTGTGTTTACGGCATTTATGGGAGGGAGAGAGCATGCTATTAGAAAATAGAATAGGAAATCCCTTAATTTTCCCACAATGGGGAAATTGTATTAACATTCTATAACCTTAAAGACAGAATGCCTTGATTAGATTCTGGGAACTAGAATCTAATTGCAGTTCGCAAACTGCTCTTTTTTTGTGGTTGGCCTTTACACTAAATGAAGCACTTTGTGTCATTTTTTTCTTTCTTTTTTTTTTGTATGTGTGTGCGAGATATTTTATTGTCCCTCCAGTATTAACTGAGGTTGTTTTACTGGAGACCAAATGCACTTTGGTTTTGATGAAATGTAGTTTCTCTGTTTGCATCTTGTTGTTTTTTTTGGCATGACTTTAAGTTTTTGCTTGTTTTTTTACTAGCAGAAGACATTGCATTAAATTTATCTGGATAATTTATGTTTTTCTGTAGGGTTGAAAACTGACATGGACAAAGAATACTTGATCAACAGCATAACGGGGGTTTATAGCTTGTGTTGAAGGCATCAAGTGAATAAAACAGACTATAAGGGTCAAAGACAGTTTGTTACTTCTGCACCAAATCTTTTTTAGTTTCTCAGATATCCATAGGTGTGAGTATCATTCCAAGTAGTATGAATAACTCATAATATCATAATAATAATGTGGCCTACATTTTGGTACTGGAGATGCTGGTTCCTGCAGAGCTGCGTTATGCTCATTACGACTTATGCTTATGCTCATTACGACATTACCAGAGCCATGTATATGTTACATCTAAAAGAAAAATCATAAATGAATAATCTTAAAAAAAAAAACACAGTTAACTGAACTCACTTTATTTTGCCTTAGTAAGTACCATGTTCATTAAAGTGATCACTATTATTTAGGAGTAATATTTCTCTTGTCCTGCACATATACTGCTAAGGAATCACTTGAGATTGATCTAGGATTGTACCTTGTTTTTATCAATTGTTTGTATTGTTAAAGTTTTAATGTTTAAAATGGTGAAATTGTGTATTTGGTCATGTGTTACTGTTAGATTTACATGACTTGGAAACAAAAGAAATAAAGATTCCCAAACCTAAACTGTTTTGTGGAATGTTGTTTTGAAAGTCACATAGAACAATATACTGTATTCCACATGTTCTATTTTTAGATTTATTAATAAATCCTGAATATTTTTGACTTGTTTTTTTTCTTTAAAAACAATTTGAGTATTCAAGCTTCTCACATCTAAATGCTTACTTAATATTTTGCCCCTTAATATGTTTAATATTTTGCTCCCATTTGCAAATACCCTTTTGAAACAAGATTTTCTTTCCCCGTTAGTCAGATAATACATTTTTCCCCTCATAAGTCAAGTAACAGCATTTTGAACTGTATCTTTCATGATGGCTGCTATGATAATGTCTCCCTCTTGTGGTTAATCCTAATAAAAAAATACTGGTGAATCTATCTTTGGGTATGATAAACTTGAGTTTAACTATTCCGTTGCAGATTGGCAACATATGCAGGGTCCATAAAAATGCCTCCCGATTTAATTTAGTTATTTCCAATGAATTTTTAAGGTAATTACATTCAAAAGTGAAACCCACAGATTTATCTTTCCCAATCTTTCTATCAGTTTATTATTATTGTTTATTATTTATGGTGCAAGAAATGAAAGAAAAGCAAATATTCCGGTCTTGATGAGAATACATACATAACCCGAGACCAATAAAAGAGTAAATTTAATGAAGAGGTATATATATTGCAATAATGTGAGAATCTACACAATCAAGTGAAATGCTGTTGACTTGACTGTTGTCCAACCGGTAAGTCACCGACCTAAGGAATGTAAGGCACTAAAGCTAAGGGTAAGAATGAATCTTCACATTGTGTTGAAGCATGAATGTTTATAGAAAGCTGGGTGGAGGGAAAAAATGTTGCAGATAGAAGGCCAAAGCATTATTAAAATGCAGAGAAGCCTTGCTAGTTTGAGTGAGTGAATACGAACAGATGCATCAAGAACATGGGTTACAATTAGTAAGATGTGTCTTACCTGCACTGAGAAAATAAGTAATTGCACTGTTGTTCAGAAATACAAAGCCCTCTTTTTCAAATGGAAATAAACTTTGAATTTAATTTGTTAATCAAGGTCCCAGTTTAGAGACACAATATCTCAGTTTAACACAGAATCCCTTTATGAAAATGCTTATTTAATTTTCAAGCATGACTTTGCATGTGCTCACATAATCAGTACCTGCTTTAACTGTACCAGTAACAGTAATTCGTAACTGTATTACTGTGCTTGATTGGCAGACAAGGTGGCCTAAAAATCCCAAAGAGAACAGGTTGGGCATTTTCCAGCAGAAAATCAAAGGCCAGTCCCACCATGGTGAGGAGCTGAATGCCGCTATTAAAGCAATCTAGGGTTGCTTTCCTCCCCGCCCACGTCACATTGATACAGTGTTTTATGCAAAACCCCACAAACTAAACATAATTAAATGGGGGGGAGTATCTTTGAAACTTCTTTTCTCTGTAAGCTCAAAATAGCTTTTTTTTTTGTACTTTTTTGAAGATATTGTATTTTTATTTTTCATTTTTGTGTTTTATGAAGTATCAGTATTTGATAAAAGTTTATTATTTCTTTATAATTAGAGTTATTATGAAGTATGTATTATGATTTAATTCAATTTCAATTAAATTAAATTCAGTTTATTTCTATAGCGCCAATTCACAACACAAGTCATCTCAAGGCACTTTACAGTTCACCAGATCATACAGTCAAATTGATTCAAAGTTCTCTATCTAAGGAAAACCAATTAATTGCATTGACTCAAATGCAATCCCTCACACTAAGCATGCTTGTAGCGACAGCAGAGAGGAAAAACTCCCTTTTAACAGGAAGAAACCTCCAGCAGAACCAGGCTCAGTGTGAGCGGCCATCTGCCGAGATCTAACAGGATGGGCACAGATACAAGTCCATTATCTGAGGCCATGAAAATATCATTAGCAACGTTCACCAGAGCGGTTTCAGTGCTATGATGAGCTATAAAGCCAGACTGAAGCTCTTCAAAATGTTCATGATGGTGTAAGTGATCGCGATTTAATGAGAATAGATATTCAGTTTTATCTTTTTCCTTACTTCAGTAGTTCATTTATTTGTTCTTCTATCTTAAAAATAAATTATTTCTAAATAAAATATAGCCTTTTTAAGCTTTATTTTTCATTTTTATTTTATTGCAATAAAATACAAACTTAGTTGGATCATCGATTTATGAATTAGCCTAATTAACAATTCATCATCAACATTTAACACACAGCATCATCTTCTACAGTTTTTTTCATTTTAATCTTATTGTTTATTCTTATAAAAAAAAGAAGCCATTTAAAAGGAGATAATTCTTTTCTTTTTTTTCTGCAGTGATTTCTTTCAAAAAAAAAATTTTTTAATTGCAAAAAAAAAGAACATACATGAACAATATAGAATATTAATAATTACAAACACATACAACAACAGAGGCCTTTACGGAAAAGAACTATTATTTTAAAATGTCAAAATCAAATCTATGCTTGAGAGTTATAATTCTTTAAGGGCAGTTATAATTTTCATGGCTTTAGCATTTGAACTAAATTTTAAGGATTCTATATAGATATTAACCGAAGATAATAAGATATGGAAATTAGGTTTTTGTTGTAAATATTTGGAGGTGTGAATATGATATTTACCATAAATAATAAAATAATTAATAACATATAAAAATTCTGTTTTGACAAGTTCACATTTCTCCATCCCAAACAAAACTTCCTTATCTGTTAACGTAATGTTGTCAAGATTGTTATTGATGGAAAAAACGTATATTTTGCTATATATACAATCCCAAAAAAGATTAATAAGCTTTTCTTCATTATTTTTTTTACAAAAAGTACACATTGGGTCCAAATCTCATTTCTATCTTTTTTTTTTTTTTTTTTTATCAAAAATGCTTTAACAGGATAAACATTATGAATAATTTTATAAGAAATTTATCTTAGTTTATTGTTTATTAAGTATTTTTTAAGGAGCAACCAAGTCCACTTCCAATTTATATTTTCAAAAGTGTTGGACTAATAAAAATTACAAGCTGGTGAAAAAAACAGCATCTCGTAATAGAATATTTCTTAACCTTTTGTTGGTTGTTTTCTTACTTATAAAACAACAATATATTTAATATAAATGGAGTTTGGATCAAAACTTGGCATTTCGGTCAAAAATCAAAACGGGGGTCCTCGTGTTAACATTACGTCACCATTGTTTACTTTTACCCAAGCCACGCCCCCGTTAGCAACTTGTGGCTAGCTCATTACCGAGGAAGGCAGAGTGCATCGAGGGATCTTCTTCTGTCACCACCCAGCGTTAAAGACTGTCCGCTCGTACATATTTCTGTGAGTAAACGTCAATAAAGCAGCTTAGTGGGTGATATTAAATACCTACTAATATAAACAGCAGGTTTCTCTAGAATATTATCGGAGGCGCAGCGGTTAGATAGCACCGTTTCATTTGAGCTAACGTCAGGAGCAGTAATATATATAGCTTTTGTTAGGGCTGGCATTCACGTGAATCCAATATGCTGAATTAAATCAACAACATTTCTTTAAAGGTACCTCTTTTATATATAGGGCTTGGTTGTTTTGTATAGTGGATATTAGACTCAAACATCCGGATTTATTTGGTTATCTA